TTATTGTTCTGCTCATCTGTTCTGTAAGTTGTCAAGTTCGTATCTATTGGTAATGATTTATTTTCTGATAGTTGCGTTCAATAATTATCTGCCTAAAGAGATAGCGATATCTCGACTGGAAGTAAACCAAAGTGTGTTAATTGAATCAATTAATTAAATTAGGAAAATTTCACTGATTTCTTATTGCTACAGTGGTGAAGCAAAACGCAAGCGCGACTGACGAGCGAGAAGTGATTTCATTTTCGAAAATTCTTAGATAGTAAGTAGGTGAAAACAAGGAACTTAGAATGGTGTCTTGTTTACGACAATATACCTTATAAATAGTGGGTGTTCGGGAAATAAAAATGGCCAATGATCAACATTTTAGCAATTTAAACCCTTGATCATGATGGCATGTTAAGTTAGTTTTCGTTTATCGACTACCTGTACTGAAAAACAAGATATATGATTTCTAGGCCTATACAGTTTGTGCCATATAAGATGTTGCAATGTTCCCCGTTCCGGGGCGGGCCTGTTAGAGGACCCGGTGTCTCTTATAGATGCCGAGAGTGAGCGCAGGGATGGTTGTAGTGAGGTAAAAATCCCACACTCTCTAGTCTCTTGTCCCTAAAAATCTAAGCGCCTTTTAAAGGTTTCCTCCCGTCGTGAAAAAGGCCTATACAGATTTAATTCCGGAGGTTATACGCCGGGGTCGTGCGGTCCATGGCCCTCTACGGCGCCCCTGTTTGGGCGCCAAACCTGTTGCGGCGTCCCGCTCGGACGCTGCTCATGGCACAGAGGGTCATGGCGATCCGAATGATCCGCGGATACCGCACGATCTCTGGGGAGTCGGCGAACCTCCTTGCCGGATTACCGCCGTGGGATCTGGAGGCGAAGGTGCTCGCGCGCGTGTACAGCATGCGCGCGGAGGCACGTCGCCGGGGCGAAACCCCGCTGCCGCGCCAGATAGGTGCGTGGCGGGATGAGCTCCGGCGCGATCTCATGGCGGAATGGCAGCAACGACTGTCGCAACCGAGGGCTGGGCTCGCTGCCATCGCAGCGGTAAGTCCCCTCTTTGAGGAGTGGCTTGAGAGACGCTACGGCGTCCTCACCTACCGCCTGACGCAGGTCCTCACCGGACATGGAAGTTTCGGGAGGTACCTGTGTCTGATGGGGCGGGAGGAAACGCCCGGGTGTCATCACTGCGAGGACCGCCCTGAGGACACGGTGGAACACACGGTGGGAGAATGCCCTTCGTGGGCTGAGCACCGCCGTGTCCTCAGGGAAGTGATCGGCGATGGCGACCTCTCGCGTCCGGGCCTAGTGCAGGCCATGATGCGGAGCGAGGGGGATTGGGATGCCGTCTCCTCCTTTTGCGAAGCAGTCATGCTAGCTAAGGAGGAGGCGGGACGCGTGAGGCAGCGAAGCGCTGCCTCCTCGCAACCCAGCCATCGCGAAGGACACACCGGGCGTCGGGGATCGCGGGACGATCTCCGGCCACCGTAAGCGCGGGCCTGCGGACGGCGAGCATGGGTGGCTCCCCGTCCGACCAGAAACAGACCCGAGCGTACGGCGCGTCGCGTTCCGCGCGCGCCTCAAAGAGCCATCAGACCACCACAGATGGGGCCCAATAGGGCCGATGCCGATTCGGAGTCGCGGAGAACCTAACGGGTAACCGGGGCTCCGGCTCGACGTGCAGGAGAAGGAACGGGGTGGTTTTTAGTCAGTAAGAGTCTGACACTCCCTCCCGCCTCACCCAGGCGGGGGCAGTCATTCGATGATTTTCCCCCCTTAAAAAAAAAAAAAAAAAA